TTTTTTTTGTTGGGTTATGTAAATAAATCTCTATCAATTTCGTTTTGTTCTTTGGATGTTTGCCTGTCGTAATAGAAAAATTTTTATGACATCCACGTGAATTTCATCTCTCTGGAAAACAAACCCCCATGACCTAACAGTGCTCTCTCTCTCTCTCTCTCTCTCTCTCTCTCTCTCTCTCTCTCTCTCTCTCTCTCTCACACACACACAAAGACACACAAACACACACATTGCAATCTCTCTCTCTCTCACTCTCACACACACACACATAAATACACACAAACACACACATTGCTACAATTGCACTACTATTGCTGCAAAATATGTAGTTCACGTGTGGAAGAAAGAAGGGGATATGTAAAAGTAGTAGTAAGATAGCAGGTTTGTTCTGTTGTGTGTTGTCTATATATGTGTTCATCTTATTGTTTCTCTCTCTAGATTCCTCTCTCTCTCTCACCTCTCTCTCAATTATTTGAAACTTGTACTGCTTATCCATGTTCTCCATGTTGGACATATGTTTTTTTTACCTCATTTTTTTTACACCAAACTCATACATTTCTATTTTCTATATATTTACTATTTTTTTTTTCATTTAGTAATTTTTTTTCAAATATATTATATTTGATGGAAATTAATTATATATTTATATATATAATAATGGTACAATTTTGAGAAAATTCTTGCACCTAACATTCTCATGATGATCAAATTATATATTTATTTATGTGGCTTGTCTTGTTTCCCCTAAACTTTGCTGCATTCTGATAAAAATATCTCGAAATATTATCCCTACCAACCTTATTCTATTCTTTCATATTCCCTTTCTCAGTATTACCCAACAAAAATGCCCACTTTTTTATTTATTTATTTATAATCTTCATCAAATTATTTAAGAAAACCCTACATTATAAAATTATTTTTCCTCTTTCGTCTTCAATAATTTACGAAAACAACATTTAATTAGGACCGCATTTAACTTCTAATTATAAAAAAAAAAGATGATTAATTTCTCCATGTATGTGTGTGGTATGTGTGATTCTTGATCTAGAAAACCCTATTTTCAATGACTAAACCCTAGCTAATCACATTTTAGAGTACTTTTAATTAATTCCTTGATCATAGTTAATTCGAAAAATCTCGAATTATTGACTTGTAATCTAACTCAAATTTCTTGCAGGCGCGACAGTTTCATCACCCACCGTGCCTTCTGCGACGCGCTCGCCCAAGAAAGCGCGCGGAACATGAATCCGCCGTCCCTGAACAGCATCGGAAGTCACTTGTTAGGCCTCTCCCAAATGTCCACCGATCATCATAATCACAATAATCATAATCATAATCATAATCATAATCAGATTAATCAATCACTATCCAACCATGATATGCTCAGACTCGGGGGCGGAAGCAGGCCGGGCCCACAATTCGAAACCCTAGTGGGTTCCGGATTTCGCCCGGCCCGAAGCAGTCTGCCGCCCCCTTCTCCAGCCCTATACAGCTTGCAACAACAAAGCAATGAAGAAGATCACCATCAACAACATAATAATGGGATGTTGTCAAACAAGGCCTCGTCTTCGACACAACTTCACGGGCTAATGCAACTCCCGCAGCTCCACAACAATGCCGCCAACAACTCCACCTCCAATTCTTCCACCGCCGGTCTCTTTAATCTTAGCTTCTTCCCGCCCGGAAATAGCGTTGCCGCTAGTAATATCGACGGCGGCCACCACTCCGGTGGCGGGGGAGATCAAGAATCCACTCTCTTCTCATCAGGTATGTATGTATTTATATGTGTACTAATTAAAACCCTATTTAGCACTACTCATAAAATTTATATATATGTGCATATTAATTAATTAATTCCACACTCTCCGATCATCAGGTAATCTGATGAGCATGGCGATCCCATCACTATACAGCACGTCGCATGCAATTCAAAACCCTAGCGGCGGAGGTGGCACCGCCCACATGTCGGCAACAGCGCTGCTCCAAAAGGCAGCCCAGTTGGGCTCAACCACCGCCAACTCCGGCGCCTCCTCCCTCCTCAAAAGCTTCGGAAAATCATCCGACAACGACCACCACCACCACTCTCTCCACGGCCATAGCTTCATCGGAGGAGGAGGAGGGACCGCCACAACAACAGTCTTCGGCGAAAACGACAACAACGGCGGCAACAACCATCTCCACGACCTCGTCAACTCCATCGCCGGCGGCGGATCAGGCTCCATATTCGGCGGAGAAATTGATGATTACAGATCATCATCAGGAATATTCCACGGCGGTGGAAATAGCAGCAACCAAGGCGGCGGATTCAGCAGCTTGGAGCAAGGGAGATTAACTAGGGATTTTCTTGGCGTGGGAGAGATTGTAAGAAGTGTGAGAGAACAGCAGCAGCAACAAAACGCCGCCATGGATAATTCTCAGAGCCAAGCTTTTGGAGGTGGCGCCAATTTCCGGTGAGGGAGGAACAAATTAAATTCTCAAACATGTTTCAGATTATATATTACAGGTACGATATATATTATATATATGTATTAATTAGTTGCTTTCATTACTCTTTAGAACTTCCTTTTTTTTTTTTTTTTTTTTTTTTGTTTTTATACTAATAAATAAATAAGTTTAATTAAAAAATATTATGATTTTGAGTGCAGGAATTGAAGTTGATTCAAGAAGATGGAGCCTGATCTCACTCAAAAGCAAAGTTTGTTCTTCGCGTCTCGTCTTACATATATTGTTAGTCAAACTAGAAAAAAAAAAGGAAAAAGATGTACGTTGCAAAAATTGTTATTTTTTTTATTTTGTAGTGTGACAACCTTTTCTTGTTATTTTTTATTTATTTATTTTATTTGTGTTTTACAATGAATTTTCCAAAAAAAAAAAAAAAAAACAATAACAATGCATATTAATTTCAGGTTATAAGTATTTTTTTTTTAAATTTGCCCTACTTATTGAAATGAATTATATATGGTTAGGAAATTCAAACATGAGGTGAATTTCATTTTCTTTTGGAAATGTACTTAGCTATTTGAAAAGCTTTTTTTTTTGTCAACTAATTAAGACTTGGTTTGGCTTAAACTTATTCTACATAGCTAAATTTGTATATATATAAAGTATAAACTGTTTTAGGAGTTGATAGGCTGTTATACCTTATTTTTAAAATTAAATTTTGAAGTGTTTAAATAATAAGATTATAAGTTGTTTTTACTGGTTTTAAGGTCTTATAAATTGTTTTTAACGGCTTATAAGATTAGCCAAATACTCTCTAATTAATAGCTAACCTTGTTGTTGATCAGTGATATTAGGGCTGGGACTGAGTTGGTTTTTATCCACCGACCGACCCATTACCGACCATATTTTAAGGCAGATAATCAATTTTTAATCGATCCATTAGATTGGGTCGAAAATTTCATCCAACCCATCTATAATGGGTCGGTTGATGGTTTCTAATACTATCAAAAGTTGGTTGACCGATAATTATCGGTCATCCAACTATATTATTAAAATTTTATTAAAAATATAAAATAAATGCCGTGTTTTCTTAAGTGATTATTGAAATTATCAAAATAATTAGCATTTTAAATTTAAAAAACAATCAACAAAGGAAAAAAAAAAATTTGACCTAAGTCTTCCACCAGTTTTGTTATGCCCAAGTTTAAATAAAAAGTCCACAAAACTCCACTAGATGATCACTTATGCATCTTTGGAATTACTTTGAATTTCCTAATTATATTTTTTCGTTAATTATTATTAATTATTTTGAACTGATAAATGATGATCGCACCGTGACATTACGCAAAATGTGAATATTTTTACTAAAAATTTTGAATTTTTTTGAAATGAATTAGGAGGCGGGTATAAACCATCAACCGACCCATTTCGAAACCAAATATTTGGTTGTCAACCATCAACCAACCCACAAAGATTGGGTCGGCAACGGTTTTCAAATTTGAGCAAAAATAGTTTGATGGATGGGTCGGTTTTTAGGCTGGTAATCGACCGACCCAACCCAGTCCCAGCCCTAAGTGATATATATCCCAATCATGTATGTAGTGAAAGGTCTTGAGGTCGATCTCAATTGTGGTTGTGGTGTGTAGTATTGCCATCATATTAGATCAAATTATTTTTAAAACTAGTTTACTTAAAAGGGTAAATTTCACTTTCCCCCGTGTACTTTAGCTCGGTATCGCTTTACCCTCTTTTACTTTCGATTGCATCGATTTTCCCCCCGCACTTGAAAATTTGTCTCAATGTGGCCCTCGCTGTTAGTTTTCAGACATTTGACCTTAACATCGTTTGATCTAAGCTCTAAAATTACAAAAACGTCACATCTGCTAGTTTAAATCATTATTAAAAATAATAATAGTAACAATAATAAATTCAAGATAACGAGAAAACATAATCTATGACGCCAGCCACAATTTATTTTTTATTTATTTTCTGCTAGTTTAAATAATTATTAAAAATAATAATAGTAAAAATAATAAATTCAAGATAACGAGAAAACATAATCCATGCATGACGCCAACCACAATTTATTTTTTATTTATTTATATTTTTTTAATAATTATTTCAAGTGGGAGGGGTGACTTTTTTGTTCTTTTCAGACTTAGATCAAACGGTGTTATGGTCAAAGGTCTGAAAACTAATGGTGAAGGCCACATTGAGACAATTTTTCAAGTACATAGGGGAATATCAATGCAATTGAGAGTAAAAGTGATATCGAGCCAAAGTACAAGAGAAAAAATGGAATTTACCCTAATTAAAATGGCACTATTCAAAATTTTATTTTATATGCATTTAGTAAGATCACACGAATTAAAAATACCCGTTTTTTTTTTTTCGTTAGAAGGGCTCCGACCAATTTTCCTTTCTTTATATAAATTCAGCGAGATTAAAGTTTTATATCCTTTTTTAAAAGACTATAATTTAATTAAAATAAATCATTCATTTTTCTATCTTTTTTTTACTGAATTCTTTATCAATTATATCATTTCGTGTTCAAAAAAAAAATATATATATGTTTTCTAAATCATGCAAAAAAGAAAGAAAAGTATGCTAAGCTAATGAAGAAAGAAAAAAAGTTATAAAAAATTGGGCCATGAAAAATGTAAATATTTATATTTGTATAGATGAACAAATTTGGAAAGTCGTGGTGGATTAGTACACTATAAAGTGATGGCCCAAATGCCAAAAAAAACATATTTGGAAATGAAATACTTGGTCTGAATAAAGGGAGCATACTCTATCGAAGTTGTTGTACTAGCTAGCAAAATTAATCAATTGTATGATTGGAAAACAAGAGTAATCAGATGCTACATTTGGTTATTCATACTGGAAGGATTTCAATCGAGATATATACATAATCACACACTCATGTGTATGCGTATTTAGTGGGTGATTATTTTATCAGGAATTCGCCCGATGTAAATAACTAGGTGTATAATTCCTCGTGAAAAACCCGAAAAGTAATGTTTTTTTTTTGGGTAGTACTAGAAAAATGTTCTAATTCCCTCTGAATTAAAAGGAAAAAGAAAAGAAAAAAAATACAAATTACAAATAACCCCCTAAAGTATGTTTGAATTGCAAAATTCGTCTTTTTGTTTGTTAAATTACATTTACCACTCAAATCAACTGTTGTTTATTTTTTCACAAGGGGTATTCTTTCTAAAGTTACCCATCACTAAATAAATTCATCGAAGGAAAAATCTAGTTTATATTTATGGAAATATCCGAAAATAAAGTCGTCAAGCGATTTTTCATTAAAAAATCTTAATTATTTACAAAATTTCATGTTCATGTGTTTAGCTACTAATCCTAAGGACTATTAGCTTAATTTTCCTGATTAAAAGTGTACATGTAAATTACAACCACCCTCCTGATCATATATGGTCAAATTACGAAAAAACCTCTTTTGTTTGGATAATTACATCTACCCCTCAATTATGAATCTTCTTACACCTCCACCTTTATGGTGTTAAATTCAACATAATCATCTAGATTCCGTGGAATGTGCTCTAGTTTGTACTCATTTTGTATACAAATACAGTTTCTGATGCACCACAATCTGATATATACACGCCAAAAAACGCATCTTATGATCCTCTTGCTTTAAAATGTGGAGCTCGAATGGGAAAAAAACATGTACAAAAGTGATAATATTCCATCTAATCAACATGATTCCACTAAATTTGAAACCACAGGGGTTGACGTATAAACAGATTTATAGTTGAGGGTAATTATTGTAATTACCCAAACAGGAGAGGGAGTTTCGTATTTTTATCATACCTCAGGGGTGGTTGTAATTTACCCATTTTATTGTAAAGGACTCCTAATCAAATTTTCCAAAATTTGATGTCGGGAGCAGCCAACAGAGGAAATGAGGAATGGGTAAGAATGCAATTTAATAAAATTGGGGAAAAGACGTAAATTAAAAGTGGGAAGCACACAATTAACCCACCCAATTTAATTTCTACTAGTGTATACTCAACTCATAATTTTGTGAACAATAATGCTTCTTACACCAAAAGACAAAATTCTATCGTCCCCAGAGTAGCGAATCTGGACATGGTACACAGAATGAACCAACATTCATTAGATCGGTTGAAATTCCAACACTATGGCTGTCAGTACTTGATTCTAGGACCTTGCATCAACTTATTAACCAGTTGAACTACGCCTATGCAGGCAATTCTTCATTAAAAAATAAATAAAAATAATATAATTTAAAAAAGATTCTGTCGGCAAAAACTATTACTGAATATGATGAAATAAAACTATGTATCATCATTACCATAAAAGAATAATGCAGCAATGCACTAATGTCGAGTCACAAACCATGTTATAAATCTTTTTGAGGTTCTTTTTATTTAATCATAGACAATTTGAATAATTACTCCATCTTTTTTTATTCTTTTATTTTAATTTAAAAAAAAATTAGAGAAGGGACGTCTTGTTAATGGGGCACGATTCTTACTCAACCATATAACTTATTTTCGTAGGAAATATAATTAATTGTTGATGGCCGAGCGCGATGGAATACTTCTTATTTAATTGGGTTTTAATTGGATATAAATTGAGAGAGTTAAATAAAAAATAAAAAAATATAAATAAATAAAAAACAGTGTAAAAAAATATATTGAGAGTGGGAATTCCACTCTAGTCCAATGGTTGCCCTAATATCAAAGTCAACTTCATGACTAGTATTTGCTATCAACTATAGTTAAGTTAAATTTCAATGTATTCATGTCATTTCAATACTTTTAAATGAGTGGAGCAACATGCCCTCCTACACTTTAGTTACATGGCACATTTCCACTTTCGCCTCGAAAACACTTACCCCTTCTACATTCGATTGTATCAGTTTAGCCCTCAAACTTGTAAAATTGCCTAAATGTGGCCCTAGTCGTTAGATTTTAGACTTTGGACCTTAACATTGTTTGGTCAAAGCTTGAAAGTAACAAAATTGTCCACCCTTCCTAGTTGAGTTAGTATATTCTTGAATTGCTAATTCCAAAAGAAACAGGGAAACAAATTGCAAAATTATAAAATTTCAATTAAACCCCTACTTTGACTTTTCTTCTACAACCAAAGTAACTCGCCGCCAATCTCCCCTTTCCATTATCCGTCGGTCCACCAACTTAAGCATTTCCACCGCTAATAGTCCAAACACCACCACCGTTGCAATGAAGGAGGGTGCGCGCGAATCCTCCTGATTTGCGCCGCCAAAGACAACCTAAAAACCATAACCCTCTTGTTTCATAATTGAATTCCAACGGTTTAAGATCAAGAATCCTCTTTTCCCATGGCCTGAATTTGGGATGAGTAGTAGTCGTGTATCGGATATTGAGGAATATATCAATTCAACTACGTTGGGTGGACTCTTTTTCCCTTCAATTTTCGAGCTTTGACCAAACGGATCGATGTTTGAAAACAAACAATTACACCACATTGAGACAATTTTACAAGTGCAAGCCAGTAAATTCGATGCAATCGAAAGTATAAGGGGCTAAAGTGAACCCGACCCAAAATAAAAGGGACGAAAGTGGAAGTTGCCCTAAATTATATAAACTTCGACCGAACGGTTGCACATATTGAATTTCTTCTAGTATTTTTATCTAGACCTCGTTTGAGAAGAATATGATTCAATGGACAATATAGTCAAATGTTTGAGATTTATATTTGAAACTCGTTATTAAAAGACATGTCTAGATTTTAATCAAACATATGAATGAATTTTAGTCCAACGTTAAACGATATTACTACATATGTACTAATTACTCCATTTGTCCCTTATTAAATGTTCTTTTAGGGTGTTTTTTGTGCCAAATTATTTGTCGTTTTAGAATTTCAATAAGGTATTAATCGCAATTTTATCAATTTTGCCCCTTTATCACTCTTAATTAGTTAATTAAAAATTAATTATTCACAAGAGTGTTTTAATATTAACTATATTAGGTTTGGCATAATATATGCATTTTAATTTATTGACTATTTTAATATACGCGTAACCACAAAAACTGATATATAATAAGTGACGGAAGGAGTAACATATTACATTACCATAGGCATTGTGTTGCCAATCTATCAATTTTCTCAAGGGGTTCTTAGTTTATTTAGGTCAAACTATCAAGATCTACACTTCATTCAACATAACTTAGTTTACTTAATTACCCTTTCAATTTACGACAAAGTCCCACAAATTCTCTATAATCATTAGTTCTTTGACCAGCAAAATGCCTCTCTCTCTCCCGACCAACACTAGTGTAGCCAAGATTGTAAATCGAAGAAGGCCGAATGCATTAAAAAAATTATGAATAAGGTCACTAATATTATTATACATGAATTTAAAAAAGAGGCACATAACTATTACTTGTTTATTTTATTTTTCTATTTTGTTTTCAAGTCTCCAAAAACAATGGGGTCCTACGTCCGTGTGTAATGAATCTGCCCAATGCAATAATTGGGCCTTAAGACAAACTAAAGTTATATAAATTATATTTGATGCCAAATGAATAGTCAAATGAATTTTATGCTATTATAACAACGAAGAAAGTAATTATTTGTCCGATATGGGCTTCAATTAAAAACAACGCAGATTATATTTGCTGCGACTATATGCAATACTAATTCCACTTGTACAAGACAAAATTAAAGAAAGATTCTAAAAGATTCTATTTTATTAAGATGAAATGACAAATGTACCTATAAATTAAACACATATTGGGTTTTTTTGTTTGTTTGAGTTATTCACGGAGTAACGTGATAATATTACTGTTTATTATTGTAATATTACTGTGGTTGACGGTAATATTACTGTTGTTATAGTAATATTACTGTCACTCACAGTAATATCAATTCTTTTGGCTTTTTATTATGTTTACATTTATTGAACGGTCAACCTAATAATATTACTCTATTACACAATAATAATGAGTTTTGTTGTGTTAATATTATTGTGCTAGAGATTAATATAGCAATATTACTGTGTTAAACTGTAGTATAGTTAATTTTACTGTGTTTAACAGTAATATAGTTAATATTACTGTCAATCACAGCAATATTGTTGTTTAAACGAAGAAAAAGATGTTACAGAAAGAAAGAAAAAAAAATCGAAAAAGTCAACGCCGGAAACCTGTGGCGGAAAAATCAGGAGAAAAAAAAATCAACGCCGGAATCCGGCGAAAAAATCCGGAAGTAAAAAAAAAAAAAAAAAAAGTCAACGACGGTGATGGACGAAATTGTCCATAAAAATGTGTTTTGGGTCAAAATTGAATAATTTATAAAATTTAGGGTCAAATTGAAGTTAAATTAAATTAAAGAATGAAATTGGAGCATATTAAAGTATGAGGGGCTATTTTAGTCGTTTACAAAAATCTGGACCATGTGTAGACTTTTTCGTAAATGAGTTTATTGTCTGGATCTCTATATAAATAAATACTCATTGATGGGCTTATTTGTAAGGACCTATTAAATAAAAATATTTAAAAATATTGAAATACTTGTCCATTATCGAGTTTTGTCTGTCCACACTTATAGGGCTTTCGAGACCCTGATGAACCTCACCATGTAATTAAGTACCGTTGACCTACACATATTCACACATATATATATATCTATATATATATATATATATATATATATATAGGTAGGACGGACCGGAAAATAATTATCATAATCTCGATTAATTAATAAACCATTGACGGTCGAAGCGGCCGATCGAGTGTTGCGAAAGCGTGTGAACCCGACCAACAAAGTACAGTCAATGATATATTAATGTGATAATTAATTTACTAACAATCACATAATTAATCTTATATACTTCCCCAACTAATGGTTTCGGTCTTTGTTAATTAAGACTTTGACTGCGCTTTGAGACCAAGACTTATTCCCCAATATATATATATATATATATATATATATATATATACAAATATATATATATATATATAAAATAAAAAAAATAAAAAAAATAAAAAAGAAACATAATCATGCACGTTCACGTGGAACAAAGACAAAAGAATTTCTACTATTGCGACAATTGTCACTACCTCAATTGTTTCTTTCTTGTCATAATATTCGAGTAAACTGCAAAAACTACCCCTGTGTTATCTCGAAATAGCAAAAACCCCCCTGTGATAAATAAACTAGCAAAAACCCCCCTGTGAAATTTAGTCAAAGGCAGAATCCCCCCTAGCTGATTTTTTAGACTTGAAATGACAAAATTGACCCTCAAAATGTATTTATATATATACATATTATATGTATATTTATTCTTTTTAATTTATTTGTTTAGAAATTAAAAAAAATAGTAAACAACTAAATTGATTATTTTTTAAATAAAATAATTAAAATATTTATAAAATATAAGAATTTATTAATTGCAAGACTCCAGGGGTATTTGTGTCTTTTTATATCAAGTCAACCCTCAAATAGTTCCATAGGGGGGTTTTTGCTATTTAAATAATTTCACAGGGGGGTTTTTGCTAGTTTATTTATCACAGGGGGGTTTTTGCTATTTTGGGATTACACAGGGGTAGTTTTTGCAGTTTACTCCATAATATTCCCTCCATCTGCCGTCTCCCTCCAATTAATCCCACACTAATTACCCTATAAATACCTCATTCTTTTTTCAAATATTTCTATAATTGTAACTTCTAACATATATATTTATTCCCACTTCCCAATTAAAACAATTATGGTTTTAGTAGAGTCCAATATTCCACCTCTAGCCCAAACTTACAACAAAATTCTAACCAATTGGTCCACAAAAATCGTCACAATAGACGAAACGAAAGAGTTAAAGAGCGAAAACGAACACGAACACGGAGCGTTACTCGAAAACCTACCGGTGATCGACCTGGTAGGATTAACGAGCGAAGACGAAGGAGAAAGAGCCGAATGTGCCGCGGAGATCGCGCGCGCTTCGTCGGAGTGGGGTTTCTTCCAAGTGGTGAACCATGGGATCAATCACAAACTCCTTCGAGATATGAGGAGAGAGCAAATCGAGCTTTTTAATGCTCCATTTTCGAAGAAATCGAGCTGCGGCCTTCTTAACAATTCGTACCGGTGGGGGTCCCCCACCGCAGTTTCCCCTGACCACTTCTCCTGGTCGGAGGCTTTTCATATACCTCTCACCAAAATCTTCCGACCAAACTTGCTTCGGCGAGTTTCTCTCTCTAAGGTATACATACAAAAAACACACACACACACACACATAAACATACATAAACACAATTTGATTTGATTAATTAATTCCTCATGTCGCTTCACAAAATTTAACAAAGGGGTCATATATAAACAAATTAAAATACCTAGTAGTACTTACTATATATATATATATTGATCATCACGTACCACAAGAAAGTAAATTTACTAGCTACTCCATGCACGCATGTATATATATATATATATATATATATATATATATATATATATATATATATATATATATATATACACAAATATTGAAATACGATATTTATTTTATATGATTCAGTTACGGATTTTTTGCAGGGAGGTGCTTGTGGAATACGCGGGAGAAATGCAGAAACTAGCGAAATTGTTGGCTGGTGTGCTAATAGAAAATTTAGGTCAAAAAAAGGAGGAATTCGAAGAGATGATAAGTTGTGACGAGAGCACGTGTTTTCTCCGGCTGAACCATTATCCGAGATGTCGGGTTTCGACGGCGGCGGAGTTAATGCATGGATTAGTGCCGCACACAGACAGTGATTTTCTAACAATACTGCATCAAGACCAAGTTGGAGGGCTTCAACTATTGAAACAATCTCAATGGATTTCTGTTCACCCCAGAAAAGATGCACTCATTGTCAACATTGGTGACCTTTTTCAGGTAATTAATTAATATTAATTAATTTAAGATTTATTTATTTATTTATTTATTCCTTTTAATTTGGTTGTTGTTTGGATAATTTAAATGAAACCAACCCCTCCTTTTTTTTTAATTAAAATGATATCTCAAGATTTGTTTATGTATGTCTGACAAATAAAACAATTCTTGATTTATTTATTTTTTATTTTTTTTGTGTTAGTTAATTGATTTGAAAAATCTTGTCTTAAACGTAATTAATTAGAACTAGCTAGAGTCATTTTGGTAGATTGTATGTAGCACGGACACGGAAATGGTGATACGGGGAAACGAGACATCTGGTAAATAGGGATACGTGAGTTTGGGGAAAAATGTGTAAATAGTAAAATTATAAGGGTACATTTATAAATATACTATATAAACATATATAGGTTATGATTTATCGACACATTAAAAAATAATTTTTACTATCAACTATCAATTTGCTGTACTTGATCTTTAAATCGTGTAAATGATTAGGGAAGCAATAAAAATATTTGAAAATTTGTCGTTCAAATATGATTCTAACTTTTTAGAAATTACAAAATAACCCATAAGGTGTCTGACAGTTAGTTGTTCGCTAGTGGTCAGAAACGCGGAAACATAAGTAGTGAAGTTTCGTAAACATAGGGTAGATCTGAGTTTGTCGAATGCGAGAAATTCGGAAATATAACTTTTCTTTTTCACAAACTACCGCAAAGAAATTAGACGGTCGAGACTCGAGACTTAATCGTCGTTATATTGTAAATTTTGTACTTAAGTTTTTAATTAGAGGCCATGTTGTGATGTTTTAGCAACTACTAAAGGTAATTAAGGTTTGTCGCACACCCTTAGAATATATTTAATCATATAACTATGTTATAAAGAGCATATTGAACGTGACCAAACCAGCTGCTACTCAGCTATTTTATTCAAATTATACATAAATAAATATATATTTCTTCCGAATTTAAATTTTAATCCTAGATCACAAGCCAACAAATTATATACATAAATTAAATCCATATGTACCCAAAAAAAATGGCAGCTTAAATTAAATTAATCACAAGCATATATATACCCAAAATAGGAAAGCTCCAATACATTATTTTCCAATAAAATAAATTAAATTTGTTACCTTGTGTTTGTTAATTAGTCTATAATAAATGGATCTTTTTTTCTAATTATAATTAATTAATTATAATTAATTAATTAATTATGGTGCAGGCTTGGAGTAATGATGTATACAAGAGTGTAGAGCATAAAGTGATTGCAAATCCAAATATGGAGAGATTTTCAGTTGCTTACTTTCTCTGCCCTTCATATGATTCTATGATTGGAGCCTGCAAAGAACCTTCTATTTATAGAAACTTTACGTTCGGAGAGTATCGAAGCCAAGTCCAACAAGATTCTAAATTAATCGGACACAAAATCGGCCTCCCAAGATTTCTTCGGTAGTTATTAATTTATATATGTCGTGTACTATCGATACTAGATCTTTTCAAGATTTCAACGATGAGTATTTGTTTGTATGTATGTGTACGATAAGTATTGAACGTTCTAGATTTCGTCGATAAATATTTGTATGTATTGTGTAATATATATATAAGTGAGAGTTTTGTAAAAAGCTTTTTTTTTTTGATATTTTAAGAATATATGAGAAGAAATGTTTGGGTTATATATTTCCTTAATGTTCGACCATGTTTTAGTTTGATTTTGATAAAATTCAATCACATAGTACGTAGACCTTTGAGTTATATTTCTAATCAATTTTGAATCAGCTAAATCAAATATCGTTATGCACGAATGAGTAATATTTCGAATTTTAGATAAATTAAAATATCGAATTTGTGGCACTGTTCATTGAATTATGCATATCTTTCTCACCCGACATACAATCTGCGTGTTTTGAGTTTTGCCAAATTCAAATAATAAATTGTCAAAAATCATGTTTGAAGTCGAAACGGTAGTATTAAAACTGAAACGACATTCATCATATCCCTTGAAAAAATATATAGAAGTTGGACTTCAAAAAACGTTGAAGCCCAATTATATCAATTAGGCCCAATTAAGATAAGTGAAATAAGCCTAGTTTTATGGGCTCAAATTTCGACAATATAGTTAGCAAAAATATCAGAAAAAACAATTTATCGATTAAAAATACTCGTTAATAGTACAAAACTGTAGGTGTGACAATGTGAGTTTTTATAACAAATTTCACTCTATAATGAAATATGGCACACTATATGGGGTATTTATATAATATAAGAGAAAAGTATTATTGTAATTATTAGATAAAAAACAATGACATATAATTTCAAATTAAGTCTGATTAACTACTGAGGTTAGAATTTTGGGGGCAATTATAAGTTGAGTTTAATTTAGCGCCGGTTGCTTCGCATACCTCGTCATTCAAATTCTTTCACTGCACTAATCGAGTGATCACTTGATGATTCGCGGGTTGAAAGGATAGACGAGATGTGGCCTCTAACTTTTTCTTCGTTTGGTGCATTTTGAGGTGATGATATCTCCGTCATTCTTCCGCCATTGCCAGCCTCAAATGTTCTTCATGAGGGAACTTCATTCTCAA